GTGCCTCCGTGCAGCGCAGCGCTCGGTTGCGCGCGATCGTGCGCCGCCGCCGCCGCCACGCCGCTCATCGACGAGTGCGGTTTCGGCGTCCTCGGCCCCAGGGGCGACCTGCGGGCCGCCGCCGCGCCCTCCCCGCTGCCTTTCCTCGTCCTCTCCGACTAGCCTTGTCAGCCGCGATTCTTAGGTTCGCTCAACGTTCGCCTCGTTTGCCTCGTATCCCCTTCCCGTTTTCCTCCTCCCTTCTCCCTCTTCCTGCCCCCCTTTCCTGGCCCAGCCTCGTCTGTCAAGCACGTGGCGACCGAAGGCGGGACCCAGGCTCGTCTGTCAAGCACGTGACGATCTCCACGCGAGTTCCCGCCGACCTCGAGGGCGGAAGTCTGGTGCCGGGGAAAGGGGAGAGCGGTCTTGAGGAGGGGTGGGCGGCCCCTTAGGCATGTGGGGAAAGGCGGAGGCGGTGGCGACGTTGAAGGCGACGGTCGGGTCCGGGCATTTGAGCACTTACGACGAGTGTCTTTGGTTTGATGAGATCCACAGTCCATTAAGCGATGTTGTGGGCAAAATCGCAAATGAGGTGCGGAAGGCGATGAGGGAGGCGGGCTTGCGATGGCGAAGATGGTAAAAGTGCCTTAATGGATTGTGGATCTCATCGATCTTTGGTGCGGGGCCGTGTCGGTTTTGAAGCCTGGGGCCTGGGTCTGCGGCCTCGGTCTTCCCTTCTGTTCCACAGGCAGGCCGATGCAGGGTGGACATGCGTCGTTGCAGAGCGCCCCGGGCGCTCTCGGAGCGTCCAGGACCGCCCTGGAAAACGGATCGGGGGCGACGCGAGAATCTCCACTTTTCCCGATCGGATATCTCATTCGGTCCCCCTCCTCCGTCTCTCCTGGCCCTTCCGCACTCCACGAAGGAAGGGAGCCTGACGGACGGGTCCTGATTCGGTTTGCCATTTTGGGGCTCCCAGGGCCCTTCCCCAGCCCCAAGACTGTAAGAAAAAATGCTCCGGAGACAGAGCGGGTCCCCGGGAAATCCCGTGTGTCCAGGACTCGTCTTTTTCAGGGCCTGTGTTCTTCATGGAAAATGGGTCGGACTCGGACTCAGACATATTATTGGAGAGGCCTTGCGGACAGTGCCTCCGACCCAGAACGACGACGACGATGATAATGCTGACGATGAAACTGCTACCGACGATGATGACGATGACGATGACGATGACGATGACGATGATGATGATGATGATGATGATGATGATGATGATGATGATGATGATGATGATGATGATGATGATGCAAATGATGATGATGATGATGATGCTGATGATGATGATGATGATGGTGATGATGCAAATAATGATGATGATGATGATGATGGTGATGATGATGCTGATGACGAGGGTGACTGTCATGGTGATGATGATGATGATGATGATGCTGATGATGATGTTGTTGATGATGATGATGATGTTGATGATGATGACGAAGATAACGATGATGCTGTTGATGATTGATGGTGATGGTGATGGTGATCATGATGATGATGATGTTGATGCCAATGCTGATGCTGCTGCAGCTTCTGATGATGATGTTTGTTGTTGTGATTGTTGTTGTTGTTGTTGTTGTTGTTGTTGTTGTTGTTGTTCCCTACCTAGGCTCTGCCTAGAAGGGTTCTTACTCTGTTAGCTAAAGGGGCCGGGCAATGCTAATCGCCCCAGGCGGTTCCCCCAGTCCCCGCCCCAAAGTTCCCCCAGTCCCCTGGGAGCTTTAGCCTTAGCTTTAGCTTAGCTTTAGCTTTAGCTTAGCTTTAGCTTAATGTTAGCTTAGCTTTAGCTTAGCTTTAGCTTAGCTTTAGCTTAGCTTCAGCTTAGTGTTAGCTTGGCTTTAGTTTAGCTTTCGCTTAGCTTCAGCTTAGCTTTAGCTTAGTTTTAGCTTAGCTTTAGCTTAGCTTTAGCTTTAGCTTTAGCTTAGCTGTAGCTCAGCTTTAGCTTAGCTTAGCTTTAGCCTAGCTTTAGCTTAGCTTTAGCTTAGCTTTTGGTTAGCTTTAGCTTAGCTTCAGCTTAGCTTTAGCTTAGCTTTAGCTTAGCTTTAGCTCAGCTTCAGCTGAGCTTTAGCTTAGCTTTAGCTTAGCTTTAGCTTAGCTTTAGCTTAGCTTTAGCTTTGCTTCAGCTTAGCTTCAGCTTAGCTTCAGCTTAGCTTTAGCTTCAGCTTTAGCTCAGCTTTAGCTTAGCTTTAGCTTAGCTTTAGCTTAGCTTTAGCTTAGCTTTAGCTTAGCTTTAGCTTAGCTTCAGCTTAGCTTTAGCTTAGTTTTAGCTTAGTGTTAGCGTAGCCTTAGCTTAGCTTTAGCTAAGCTTTAGCTTAGCTTTAGCTTAGCTTTAGCTTAGCTTCAGCTTGGTGCTAGCTCAGCTTTAGCTTAGCTTTAGCTTAGCTTTAGCTTATCGATCAGCTTAGTGTTAGCTTAGCTTTAGCTTAGTGTTAGCTTAGCTTTAGCTTAGCTTTAGCTTAGCTTTAGCTTAGCTTTAGCTTAGCTTTAGCTTAGCTTTAGCTTAGCTTTAGCTTAGCTTTAGCTTTAGCTTTAGCTTTAGCTCAGCTTCAGCTTAGCTTTAGCTTAGCATTAGCTTAGCTTTAGCTTAGTGTTAGCTTAGCTTCAGCTTAGCTTTAGCTTAGCTTTAGCTCAGCTTTAGCTTAGCCTTAGCTTAGCTTTAGCTTAGCTTTCGCTTAGCTTCAAGCTTAGCTTTAGCTTAGTTTTAGCCTAGCTTTAGCTTAGCTTTAGCTTAGCTTTAGCTTAGCTTTAGCTTTAGCTTTAGCTTAGCTTTAGCTTAGCTTTAGCTTAGCTTTAGCTTAGCTTCAGCTGAGCTTCAGCTGAGCTTTAACTTAGTGTTAGCTTAGCCTTAGCTTAGCCTTAGCTTAGCTTTAGCTTAGCTTCAGCTTAGCTTTAGCTTAGCTTTAGCTTAGCTTTAGCTTAGCTTTAGCTTAGCTTTAGCTTAGCTTTAGCTTAGCTTTAGCTTAGCTTTAGCTTAGCTTTACTGTTACTACTAATGCTGCTCTCCTAGGGGCTCCAACTCCTAGGTAGGGTCGCACCGGGATAATTGTTATTATTAGTCTGATTATCATTTGACTTATCATTCTTAGAAAGAGCGTATTCTACCGCTGCTGGCGGAAAACCAAGGGGGGTCACTGCCGGTTCGACCCCCCCCCTCCAGAAAACCGGGGGGGGGTCACTACAGTTCGAACCCCTTCCCCCCCACACCCAGTCCATCATGAAAGGGGGGGGGTCACTTCTGGTTCGAACCACCCCGCCCCCCCCCCTCTCGAAAACCGGGGGGGGTCACCACCGGTTCGAACCCCCCCCCTTCCAAAACCGGGGGGGGTCACTACCGGTTCGAGACCCCTCCCCCCCCCTCCACTCGCCGCCGGGCCGGCAAACGATTCCCGCTCCTCGGGACAGTTGGACAATGGTCGGGATGCTGGGACAGTGGCGGGAACGGTGGTGGTGGGGACAGTGGTGCGGGGACAGTGGGACAGTGGTGCGGACAGTGGTGGGGACGGTGGTGGTGGGGACAGTGGTGAGGGGACAGCGGGACAGTGGTGGGGACAGTGGGACAGTGGTGGGGACGGTAGTGGTGGGGACAGTGGTGAAGGCGGTGGTGAGGACAGTGGTGGGACAGTAGCATAATGGGGAAAGTGGTCGGGACAGTGGGGACAGGGGGACAGTGATGGGGACAGTGGGGACGCTGGGACAGCACAGTGGGACAGCGGCGGGGGCACTGGGACAGTAGTGGGTACAGTGGGGAGGGGACAGTGGGACAGTGGTGGGGACCGTGGAGAAAGTGGGGAGAGTGGAACCGTGGTGGGAACAGTGGTGGGGACAGTGGGGGCAGTGAGACACTGGTGGGGGCACTGGGGACAACGGGGACAATGGTGGGAACAGTGTGGACAGTGGTGGTGAGAACAGTGGTGCTGGGGACAGCAGTACGGGATGTGGTGCGGACGGTGGTATGGGCCGGGAGTCGTTTGCTGGCGGTGAGCGTGGGGGGGGGGGAGGGGTTCGAACTGGTAGTGGCCCTCCCCGGTTTTCGAGGGGGGAGGGGGGGGGGTTCGAACCGGTAGTGACCCCCTCAGGTTTTCGAGGGGGGGGGTTCGAACCGGTAGTGACCCCCCCGGTTTTCGAGGGGGGGGGTTCGAGCCGGTAGTGACACCCCTTCGGTTTTCGAGGGGGGGGGTATAGTTACCTTCCTCTGGTTTTCTCGGGGGGGGGGGGGTCGAACCGGTAGTGACCCCCCCGGTTTTCCGGGGGGGGGCGGAGGGGGATCACTGCCGGTTTTTGGAGGGGAGGGGGGGGAGGGGGGGGGGGGGGAGGGGGAGGGGGGGGTTAGGGAGGGGGGGGGGGGGAGGGGGGGGGGGGGGGGGGGGGGATTTAAGGGGGGGGATTTTCGTGCCGGGTTCCGGAGGAAGAGGGGGGGGAATTTTCCACAGTAGAGCGGCGGTGGATATTGATGTTATCATCCGTATTATCCAAATGATTTCATCCTCATTATCAGCATTATCATGATTAGGTCTATTCGTATTTTTCTTGTCATGTTTTCCATTCGTGTCATCTTCGTTATTAGTATTGTTATGGTTTTTATTACCATTACTGATATCATTATGATGGTGATGGTGAGAAGGATGAGGATGAGGACTAGGATGAGGATAACTAGGCCCCCCCTGGAGAGCGACCACCGCCTTCCCAAGCGAACCATCCGTGTCGCAGCAGTGGCGCAGTTTCTGCGACTTTCGTGAGGTCGTGCCCGTCTCGCCCTCTGGTCGTCTGCTTTGCCCCCCCCTCTGGTTTTCCACATGGGGGGTGAGGAAAGGGGGCCCAGTTGGTGCCCAAGAGGGTCCTTGAAGGGCCCTTTTGCAGCCTTTTTCTTCCCCCCTCTATTTGGGTTACCCCCGATTGCCACCCGCCCGACCAGTGCGCCTCCAGCTCCTCCCTCGTGCCCGGTTGTCGAGCGGGCCGGCGCGCGACAGGATCAGCAGCCCATCCTCACGGAAAAGTTGAAGCAGGCGACCTGCGGCGGCATTTTTTTTCTTGGGGTGGGGCGCGGGCCTTCCTCCACCATCCTCCTCCCCTCCCGGAAAAGAAAAGAAGGGGGATCTCCCCTTGCTTTTCTCGCCCTCCTCCTCGCCCCCTTCCTCCTTACCCTCCTCCTCCTCCTCCTCCTCCTCCTCCTCCTCCTCCCTCTTTCTCCCCTTCCTCCTCCCTCTTTCTCCCCTTCCTCCTCCCCTTCCTTCTTCCGCCTTCTCGTTTTCCCCCCCTCCTTTCTCCTCCTCTCTCCTCCTATTTTTTTTGTTTTTGTTTGCCTCTTTCCCTCCTCTCCTCCTCCTCCTCCTCCTCCTCCTCCTCCTCCTCCTCCTCCTCCTCCTCCTCCTCCTCCTCCCTCCCGGGGAAGGCTTGCGTGAATGCAGCAGCCTAGCCTTGAGCCAACATGGCTTAAGGTCTGAGAAGCGGCAGGGGCAGAGATGGGGAGGACGGGGCGCATGCGACATCAGACCCCGACACACGACGCCATGAAGAGTGACAGCGCCGAATCACGGCTGGAGTGCCCGACTCCGCCTCCTGTGAGGGACCGACAAATCAGCACAGATATGGCCGCGCGGACTTCTGCCACGCCTCCATGCCTCCCTCTCCTGGGTCTTCGGGACGCGTGCGCGAGGCGCAGAGGCGAGAGCCGCACTCTGCATCGCGACCCCCCATCACTTCTAAGCTTTCAAGACGAGTAGGAGGAGGAGGAGGAGGAGGAGGAGGAGGAGGAGGAGGAGGAGGAGGAGGAGGAGGAGGAGGAGGAGGGGGCGAGAGTCACCTTCTGGACAACGGCCCCCTCCACCCGTGGAGCTGCCGGGGGAGCTCTCTCGAGGCGAGCGTGCGCGGGTCGCCCGTGAAAGAAGTGCTCGCGCCTCCGGCGGGAGCAGCGGTTGGAGCTTGGGAGGCCTCGGAGAGTCCCCCCCTGCTGGCCCCTTCCTCCTCCGGACTCGCCTCCAAGGAGGCAGGCCATTTTTTGGTCCCCGAGTCCCTAGTCCTCTTCTGCTCCTCCTCCTCCTCCCTCCTCCTCCCTGCTGCCCCCCCCGCCTCCACCTCCTCCCAGGCGCCTGTGCCTCTGGGTCCCCTTCCCAGGCAAGCAGGCGGCTTGCAGCCCGATCGTCACCTCGCCCGTGCCTGCCCGGGGGTCATGGGAAACCGCGATGCTGTGCAGCGTTTGGGCGGGGGGAAAACACTTGCATCAAGTCGGGCGTGTCCCCCTACAGGGGGATTTTCGACGAAAAATAGAAAATACACAACAAATACTTCAAACATGTCAAAAATATGCAAAAACAGTCCCCAGACTTTTTAAACAATATGCTTGGGGTATTTTTTATTTTTCGTCGAAAATCCCCCCTGTAGGGGGACAGGCCCGACCTAACACTTGCATCTCGACGCCCGTGTTGCCCCAGCCGTGCTTCCCACCGCCAGGGTCCCCCGCCCTGGCGTGCGGGGGGGTGGGTTTTGGTCTCGCGTGGGAGCGGTGGCGCACAGAGGCCCACGTGGGCGCCACAGCCAAGTCCCTCTCTTGTAGAGTTAACCTGGGTTATCCCTATCCACCTCCTTCTCCTCCTCCTCCTCCTCCTCCTCCTCCTCCCCGGCCCTCCCTCCCTCCTTCCCTCCCTTTCCTGTTTCCAGTTTCCAGTTTGGGGGAAGTCTCCGCGCGCGCCGCGGGCCCATGCGTCGGGCCTACTGTAAGGTCCCGACTCCTGATTGCCTAGCAGCTCCTTCTCGGAGCATTGCTAACTCTCCAGAGGGCCAGGACAGCAACCCTTGGGGAAGCTGGCGAGAAAGAAGTCGGCGGATGGCCTTGCATCCGGTGGGGGTGGCCTCCTTGCACTCCTCACGGAGCTTCCTGCTCCGATGGGCTGACCACCCCCCACATCTAAGACAGATCGTCACCCCCCTGTACGTGCGGAGGTGAAGGCGATGTGTCTCGTGGGTATAAAACACTCCAGGGTGGGGACAGCAGGGCTTGTTAACCCAGCGAGCTTTCCCGAGGATTCCAACCCGAGCACATCGCACACACTGAATTCGGTCACCATGCTGTTCAATGGTGTGCGGGCTCACTTGAGCCTCCCGCAACCGACGGACCAAAGCGTCCCTAGGGGCCTTGAAGGCCCCGAGTTTGGGCCCGTGGGTCCAGGCAAGAAACTGAATGACAGCAATGCGTTTAACAATTAGGCTCATTTCACTATCACGTTGCCGAACGTGGTCGAGGATCTCCTCGGGTAATTCAAAGAAGTCGGCTGCTCTCCTCGCGACTGCATCAGCAACGTGGTTGACGAAATAAAAGACTGGGTAGACCACTCCACTCTCAAGATCTTCCAGAGATGCATGGGCCTTAACTTTATCTAGGGTAAAGGGGTATTGCCGCTTCGAAACCACTTTCCAGAAAACATTCCAAATGTCAGAATTGAGCTTGTGCCTCCATGGGGCCCCATGTCTGAACCCCCGAAGGAGATACATACTGTCAGTAACTAGGTGGATGGGTCCCCGCAATCTGAGCGCAGCGATGGCGGCCATGAGCTCACCACGATTGATGGTCTGCTTGCCTGGGACGGGGCCGAAGACCGTGCCGATCACACGTATGTCCTGATCGAACAGCGCGAGGCCCCATCCAACCTTCCTAAGCCTCGGATCCCCAGTGAACTTCCCTCCTGACGCATCAATTCCAACCAGGCGCCAGTCAGTAAACGAAAAGGCCCAGGGCACCCTCAAAACTGCAGTTCCTTGGGGGTCCTCGGCACCATGGAAATTAGCAGCAACTCCAACTGTATCGTGCTGCGGCTGTAAACCTCGTAGCCACTTGATGGCATTGGATGCCGCCTCCACCGTAGCTCGCTGCAAACGGTGTTGCGAATCAGCAATGGCTGGGTGGAAACGGCCAAGCCCTGGGAGGCAAGGGCATGTCCAGTAGCAATGAAGTGCATCCTCCATCGCCTCCCCACACCTCCAGCATGCAAAGCTGCCGTGTTCCCCCTTCATACCTGCAAGATATCTGCGCTGCCCATGCCAGACTATGCCCATGGCAACAGCTGTCGCGGCTGGCACGAGAAAAGAGTCGTCATCATCCCCTCGCTTCCATGCGCGGGTGATGAGTTGAAATTGGTAAGCGTCGATAGAGCTGCCAGATCCCGATCCACAGTAATATTGAGACGCCTGCCCCCAATATCGGTCTTGAATCGTTCGAATCATTTCCTGGATGAAACCTTCTTGCTCGGATCGGGGTCCTGGCCTAATATGAACGAGCCGCCGAGATGGACTGGTCCATAGCCACGCTGTCGCAGCTGTCCAGCCGAAGTCTAGGAGATAGGCAATGACGGTGGAACATAAGACAACCACTTTGTTCCATCTTCCTTCCTTGGGGACTAACTTGTCCCAGACCCGCTTCCAAGTCCTGGAGATCCCTTGGTGTAATTCAGGTTCCTGATTAATAATAGCGAGCCACATCTGGAAACACCCAATAGGAATCTAGTACCCAGGATCGGTCTCCAGGGCCCCTTTGGGTGATAAAGCATAGGCGGTAGTTGTACACCCAGAGCTCTTGGTGAGCCCCATGGCTCTGCAAAGCTTGCCACGTAGGAGTCGTAGCTGGGTCGGACTAACTCCGTGCCCCTGAAACCCCCACATGAGCTGCGGCTTGGCCCCCGTGGTGACAAGGACGCGCACGTGCTTCCTGCCCCTGGGCAGTCTGCAAATCTTGGCCAGCCTGACAAAGCCTTTACGTTGTCGGTTCTGTCGAACTCGAAGCCTTCGAAGTTTCCCCAGAGTGGCATCACACCCAAGGTCACGCCCCGACGCGTTAACACGAACCTCAATACCTTGGCCTTTCAAGGCCTGGGCAACATCTTGGGCCAGGGTTGGGCTCGAAGCCATAATAACACTTTTGTTCGACAACGTGCAGCCTGCCCGACAATGCCCCTCGGCAAGTGAAAGGACGGCCTTCGGGAACTGGTCTCGAATGGCCTTCTCGGATGCCCACATACGCACCCTCAAGTCATCCACCCAGGTGCGGAACGGCATCCTCTTGAAACGATGGTGGAAGTCATGCAATATGTTGTAACGAAAGGCCCTGGCAAGCGAGCAGCTCTGCCCGCACCCTTGAAGGAACGATGTGTGTGGGGCGGCAAACCTGGAGGCCCCGAGGTCGGACTTCAGAACTCTCGCGGCCTTGTGAACCATTAGGGCCAGGGATAGAGGCGGTTTCGGGTAGTCCAGGGGCACATCAGTATTGGCAGCGACTTCAATAGAACTAGTGCCGAAAACGTTTCGATGTCCAGGAGGGCCTCGGTCATCGGGGTCCCAGTGGAACTAACAATCTCGGCAGCCATTTCAGACAACACTGCAGCACGTAAAGGATCATGTCCTCGGAGGGCTTGGTCCCAGAACCCCGCCTTCGCACTGTCCCATTCAGACAGATCATATCGAAAAAGCTTAGTGACGAGCCTGTACAGCCCTGACGTCAACGCGAGGGCTGAAGGAAGATACAGTTGAGCAACGCCTGGATAGGGATCTGCTGGTAAAAACAGGTGTCATTGACCAATGTCACCAGCATGGGTCTCGCTTCCCCTGGCAAGAGCAAGCAATCCCTGACCCGCCAGCCATCCCCTCCTGGGGCAGCCGACGGGGAGTACCAGGAGGCAACTTCAAAGACCCTGCTGATGTCCCAAGGGAAGTAGTCCCAATCCCAGGATTGCATAGCTTCTTTCCGAATCTTGGTCATCCAGATTGGCTCCACTGGGGCCACATGGTTGTACCCTTTGGGGTCCCATTTAGTCATGCAAACTTCCAACTTGTGGTTCATAACCTCAAAGGGATCGGCGACCACATTGCCTAGGGGGTCCACGTGGGTGTCGTAGGGCTCTGGGAGGTCCGACGGGGCCTTGGTGATGGCGTGGGCAGCTCCTCCCTCTTTCTTCAGAGAGTCCAAGAGACACTGGTTGAAGGCGTCCCTCGAGAGTTTGAGTTCCTCCAAATGGTAAGTATGCTGGATGCGATCAATGATGGCGAGGGCATTCGCCTGCATGCTGTCGTCGAAATACCCCCGCCATTTTAGAGCAGCAGGTAGGACTCGTGTGTCTTCAGGAGGCAGACCAGGTTCTGGGAGCCTCTGGCGGGTCCTGGTAATAGTCCCCTGAAGCCGAGCAAGGTGGGCCCATGTAGGCCTGGGGCCTTTCTTGGTGGGTTTCCTGTCCCTCTCCTGAAGCCTCATGCCTATAGTAGCCCATTGATGAGATAACGATCCAGCCTTGCCGTGCTTGGGTGTAGCCTGCAGGAGGTCGCGCCAGCCAAAAGTAGGGCACACGCCCAAGTGGCCTTCGGAGTCGTCACCTGCGATGTCCTTTTGCTGGAGCTCCACTCCCCGACATAGCTGGCCATACATATCAGAGAGGGCCTGGTGATGGTGTGAGTGATTGACAGGATACTGCGGGTGGGGAATACATCCCAGTTGGTCCATAGCTTTAGCAAAATAGTAGTTCCATTCCCGAGCTGGTCCCGCGGGCCGAGGAAGAGGGGCCGAGTGGCCCAGGGCCCAAACCTTCCTGGTCAGGGCAGCCCTGGACAGCTCCAATTGAATAGCAACATGGGGCGCCCATGGCCCTTCAAGCTTTCCTGAGACTTCAACGTCAGGCCAGAGATGCTTATGGATAATGAAATAGTCGATAGTGGATTCCCTATCCCTGTCAGTACATGGTATGTCAGCACACACCACCGCAGCATTGAAACTCTCTCAGAGCCCAGTGTCCTGAATAGCAGCTGGTGGCATGTTGAAGTCCCACCCAAGGACGAACGGCATATTCATCTGCCTGACGAATGTAAAGATTTCACCCTCCCTCCCTCCCTCCCTCCCCCCCTCCTCTCCCCCTCCCTCGTCCCTCCGCCCTCAGCCTCTGCCGCAGGCCACGGAGACCAGCAGTCTATTCGAGATGGCCAAGCGCAACCTCCTGCGCGACAGGACCCCACGGCAGGCGCGCGTGCGCCTTGACGCGGTGGCGACGCTCCAGGCTGAATTTTGCATGACATATCGGGAGGGCTCGAGGGCCCAGCGATCCGATGCGGGAATTTGTACACGACCACCGCCTGGAGGTTCAGTTTTCGGAGCCTCGGCAGGCGGTGGATACGGACAGATTCGGGCCCCCTTTGTGCCGAAATATATCCATATCCACCGCCCGCTGGGGCACCAGGACGTCGGTTCCCAGGCGGTGGATATGGATAAATCACCGCCTCGCAAGCGATGCTTCTGGGTGTATTTTTTCATGGCATTATGCGGGGGGCTTCGAGGGCACCCCCTCGTGGCCGCGGTTGGACGCCACCCGAAAAGCTTGTCGGGAGGTCATCGGGGAGGGGGCCAGGAATCGCGTCCAAGGGGACCTTCCTCTTGAACGCCCCGCTCTTGGACGCCTCCCGACGGGGGGGGAGGGGAGGAGAGGATTAGAGGATTACCAGGATTATGGCCAAGAGAACAGGGGGAACCAGAGCGGAGGAAACTCGGCTGCGCAGCCGACGAGAGCAACACCAAGTATGTACCCCCGTGCGGCCAGAACTCAGAAGGCTGAACGTACCCTATCTCGGCAGGCTCGAAGTCCGCGATGGTGTCCCTCCGCGCAGCCTCATCTGAGATAGCGACTTCCCCCAAAGATGCCTACCCAACCTCCGCCTCAATGAGGTCGGGACCCTGGAACACCGACGACGGCCAGACTGGCCACCTGGCGGGTGTAGACACTCAACCCAGCACCACCCCAGCCAGTTCCCTTGCCCAAGGGGGACCAGGTGGCAAGAAATCCATGAGCCTCCGATCCGACGACCAATTGGTCGAAGTGACCCGAGCGGGGAACATTGGGCGTTCAGCGGACAGGACTGTACCGTGCTACTCGCCGCAACCACCACACCACCCCCCGACATTGGGGTGACCAAGGGGGCCCTCGAGGGCGCGAAGTTATTCGCGCTTCGCGCTTCGCGGTTCGGCTCCGATTCCTCCTCATCCCCCCCTTCTCCCCTGGGAGGCGGCGCGAGAGCGCGGAGTTGTTCGCACTTCGCGCTCCGCGCAGCGCGAGAGCGCGAAGGTGGGAGCCCTTGACACCACCCCCCGACATTGGGTGGTCTTGTCCCCGTCATGCTCGGGGTGACGGAGCCCCGAGGTCCTGGACTGCCCCCTCCTGGCCTGGAGGCGTCGGCCCCCCCGGACCCCCACGGACCCCGTCCTCTCCACCGCGGAACAGGCCTGGAAAGCCTGCGGCTACCTTTACTTCCGCCTCCCGGGGCTGGCCTGTCTTCCTGGGGAGGTAGCGAGAGAGGGTCAGGAGGAGGGAGAGGAGGAGGAGGGGGAGGAGGACGAGGAGGAGGAGGAGGAGGAAGAGGAGGAGGTGGAGGAAGGGGAGGAAGAGGGGAAGGAGGAGCAGGAGTAGGAGGAGGAGGAGGAGGAGGAGGAGGAGGAGGAGGAGGAGGAG